CCCCAAAACCCCAAAACCCCAAAACCCCAAAACCCCAATTATATTTATGGTATAGAATTTCAGGATAAAATTTAAATATGAACATAAACTCAAAGAAAAATGCTAAGCATTTTAGTGATGATTGGGAAAATCATGACCATCTGTTGACAGTATCGGTCAGATCTTTCTTTGATCCATATACTAAGAGTGAAGATATGAGGTATTTTTCTTTTGGTTTATCATGACTATCAAATATTTGTGTTTAAACCTCGACAATCATTAATTTAAACTTTAGAGATAACTTCAAGACTGTGGAAACAAATAATACTTCAATAAACTTTCATCAGAAAGAAATATCAGCCGTCCCAACTCCTAACACAAACAATTCAACTGCTCATCTACCTCGGTACTCTTAGGTAATTATCCAAAATCTAGGTCAAGACATCTATTTCGAAGAATTCTTAAACCTAGAAACAAAAGAAGACTTACTACTCAAAACAAGAGTATATCCCGACCAATCCATGTCAAGAGCAAATCAATGATTTCCAAAGGAAGAGTCACCTTCAAAAACGATTATCCCCAAAAAGAAGACAGCATTAATCTAAATCTTGGTCTAAAGCAAATAAAATCATCGTAAGTCCCATTTCTGACCTACAGGAACAAACATAAAGACAAGTTTATCCAGAGGCTCTAAGAAGGCCAAGTAAAGGAAACCTTTCCAAAAATATCAGGAATTTCAGAAAATCCCCAAAGAAATTAAGCAGCAACTCAATTGTGCAGTACAGCTCCTTGACAAAATCATTCATCCTTAGGTTAGCCTCCCTCATTTTACCTATAGTGGCTCCTCCCCTAGAAAGAAAGAATCAGAACGGAGGAACCGAATCTTCAAGAAATTTAGAAGATGTGTCAGGAAGATTTACAATGCGATGAAATTCATGAAGCTATCCCCAAATTACAATGAAGTCAATGTACATGTCGATATCAACAAGAAGAAGTTCTATAGCTATCTCAATAAATACATCCTTACTGCTGAGCATGGGGTGTATATCAACTGCAGGCCTACATTCCTGACAAACATAATGGACGGAGTGTTCTTAGCCTACAATTTCCCAGACCTGCCCATCCTAAAATATTGCTTCCTTATAATGGCAATTTACTGTGAATTTCAAGAAGACTCAGGTATGTTCAAAACTTAACTCTAGAAAACACTATTTATTGATACAGAAGGCTCAAAGATATAGCTGAGGTACTTGAAGACCATGGTAACTTTACTGATTATGTGCATAGATCTAATTACTACTACTTATAAAAGAAGAGCAGAGATATTTAACAAACTCAAAGACTTTACTAGCGCAGAAATTTGTTACAAGCAGATGCTTGTACATACTTGGATACTGAACTCTAGTTCGAAAGAGATTGAAGCCTATGAAGGATTGTTTAAGACTTATTATCATCTTTCAGATATGACTAGAAGTAACTTCTTCGCTCATCAATTTATATAGGTACATTTTATTTCAAAAGATGGTCTCAAGGACGTACTGAGAGTGAGTTCTCTAAACTTCGGATTAATACTCTCAATTCATACAAGAACAAGAAGATACACATCAAATAAAGTTAAGCCATCCTTCATCATGGAAAAAGGGTTTGTAAGGAACTTTGATCAGACCGACGATTATTACTTCATGGACCACTATTGCGAACAAGAAGGAATAGAAAGAAATATCACCTCCAATTCTCAATATTTAATGAGAGAGGTAGCCGTCAAGTAACACTTTTAGATTTATAAAATAAAAAGACTAAAAGATCCAGGCAATTGGAATATCGAGAAAATGGACACCAAAAATACAAAAATGGAGGTACTCAAGCCTGACCATACTATAGATCCACACAGTCAGGAGAGGAACTCCCATTAAAAAAGTCAAATATGATGACCTCCCTTCACCTTTCAGATTCGGAGAGGAAACTAAAATTTCATCTTCCTTAAATTTTGGTAAAATAGACTTCTCAAGAAAACCTAAAGTCAACAAAAGTCATGATTTTAGACTTGAAAGTGAAACTAAAATAGAAAGCACAAAGTCAAAATCCCTTGAACGGAATTTAAAGCAAAACAAGTTCAATGAGGTATCAATACAAGTAAATTTATCCCTTAAAATAGGGGAAAATCAAACCTGACCCATCCAACAGACTAAGGTCAGAAGATAGAGTAAATAACATATTTAACAAAGCTAGTCTTATTCCAACAAGATCAGGAAAATCTTCTCAGAAAAGGGTAAAATTAACTACCTTAGAATACTACAAGAAAACAGACTAAAGAAGGAAGAGCGGTTCAAGAAGATCCTTGAAGCTGACCAGAGCACTACAATCTACAAAAGATCCTCTACAGCTTCCAAAACGAAGAGAGAAAGGTCTCTAAAAAGTAACTTTCCCCTGAACCTTAGCAAATTGAATCATGAAATCTCACATTGAAAGATGTAAAGTTCTCAAAAATGCCATCGGTGAGGAGGAAAACTTCTTATCTAAGATCACAAAGCTATTCAAGAAGCTCAATGATTACATCCAGAAAGGTAAAACCAGTGAATGACCTTTAGGCCTGGATACCAGCTATGTCAAGCATATTAGAAAAGATCTTAATGTTGAAGGAAAACTCACCTTCCCTAGATTTTTTATCCCAAAGAGTCCATAAAGGTAGTTTTAACTAGGATTTCATATAGCTTGATATATATCTGTAAAGGAATACAGAGAAATCAGAGAGAAAGAAATCTCAAAATTGTCTGATTTTATTAATAACAGAAATCTATCATAAATCAACTTTTAAAACCAGATGTGATGAATAATACCAACATTACTCCTAAAAATGCTCACCAAAAACTCCAAAATTTTCTTTTTCCATCAAAAACTCCTCAAAACTCCCTAACTTCTTTTATCTATCACTTTCATAGCCTAAAATACGAGACCCCGACTCTATAAAAATGTTCCTAAAAACCCTCACATCCCTCCAAAAGCCAAAATGGCAAGCTACCATTGGCCATTCATTATTTTATTAATCTCTGAAAATATAAAAGGGGTTTTGGGGTTTTGGGGTTTTGGGGTTTTGGGGTTTTGGGG